GATAAAGAGCAGCTACAAAAAAAAAAAACCAAACAAACAAAAAAATAAAACTAAAGATAATGTCACATTTACTGATGACAAAGTAGAAGCTTTCTTGCTAAAATCAAGAAAAATTCAAGGATATTCCCTCTCACCACTCTTTTCAACATCATTGGAATTCCTGCAAAAAGAAATGAAACTGAAAGCTATACAGTTTGAGAAGAAAGAAATAAAACTGTTTCTTTATAGAAGATACAACTGTCTATGTAGAAAATCCAAAAGAGGCTGGGCTCGGTGGCATAATCTGTAATGCTAACAATTTGTGAGGCCAAGGCAAGTGGATTGCCTCAGCCGGTGGGTTCGAGACCCACCCAGGCAACTTGGCGAGACCTCGTCTCTACAATAAATAAAAAATTAGCTGGGTGTGGTAGTGTGCACCTGTAGTTCCCTTGGAAGGCTGAGATGGAAGGATCGCTGGAGTCTAGCAGGTCGAGGCTGTGCTGGCTGGAAATATACTACTGCCCTCCAGTCTGGGCGATGGAGTGGGACTCCAACTCAAAAAAAAAAAAAGAAAAAAGAAAAAGAAAAAAAGAAAATCCAAAAGAATTAACAAAAATTCCTGGAACTAATAAGCAATATAGCAAGGTTGCAGGATACAAGATTAATATGCAAAAGTCAATAGCTTTCCTATATACCAGCACTGAACAAATGGAATTTGGAACTAAAACACATTATCATTTACATTGGCATCCTAATAAAATATTTAGGCATAGATTTAACAAAATATGCACAAGATATAAATGAAGAACACTATGAAACTCTGATAAAAATAAATTTAAAAAGAACTAAATAAACACGAAGATATTCCATGTTCATGGATAGGAATACTCATTGTTGTCAAGATGCCAATTCTTTCCAAATTGTTTTACATATACTCAATGCAATCTCAATAAAAATCCCAGCAAGTTATTTTGTGGATTTCAACAAACTGATTCCAAAGTGTACATGGAGAGGCAAAAGTCCCAGAATAACCAACACAATATAGAAGGAGAAGAACAAAACTGGTGAACTGACACTACCCAACCTCAAGACTTACAATAAAGCTATAGTAATCAATGGAATGTAGTATTGGCAAAAGAACACATAGATCAAAAGAACTGAATAGCTAACCCAGAAATTAGCCACATAAATATAGTCAACTGATCTTTGATAAGGGAGCAAAGACAATGTATGGGAGCAAAGATAGTCTTTTCAACAAATAGTGCTGCAACAATTGGATATCTACATAGAAAAATGTGAATCTAAACACATACCTCACCCTTTCATAAAAATTAATTTAAATTGAATGATGGACCTAAATTTAAAATGTGAAACTGTAAAACTCCTTGAAAATAGCATAGGGAAAATCTAGATGACCTTGTTTTGGCAATGACACTGTAGATACAACACCAAAGGCAAGGTCTGTGAATGAAATAATCAGCTAGATTTCATTAGTATTTAAAATGTCTGCTCTGTGAGAGTCTGTCAAGAAATGAAAAGATAAGTCACAGACTTGGAGAAAAATATTTGTAAAAGACATTTTTAAAAGAGTTATATCCAAAATATACAAAGAACTCTTAAACCTCTATGCTAAGAAAAATGAACAACCTGATTTAAAAATGGGGCAGATAGGTCGAGCTCGGTAGCGCAGCCTGTAATCCCGCAACTTGGGAGGCTGAGGCGAATGGATTGCTTGAGTCTGCAGGTTCAAGACCAGCCCAGGCAACTTGGCGAAACATCATCTCTACAATAAATCAAACATTAGTCGGGCATGGTAGCACGTGCCTATGGTTCTGGCTACTTGGAAGGCTGAGGCAGAAGGATTGCTGGAGCCCAGCAGGTTGATGCTGGGGTAGCCATGAGCATGCCAGTGCACTCCAGGCTGAGTGACAGAGATTCCAACTCAAAAAAAAGTGGGGGAGGACAACTATCTGATAGACATTTCATCAAAGAAGATAGAAAGATGAAAAATGCATAAAATTATGTTCCACATCATATGGCATTATGAAATTACAATTAAAACATCAATGAGACATCACTATACCTATTAGAATGGTCAAAGTCTAAGACATTCATAACACCAAATGCTGATGTGGATGTGAAGCAACAGGGATTCTCATTCATTGCTGTAAGAATGCAATATGGTACAGATACTTTTGAAGATGTTTGGTAGTTTCTTACAAAACTAAACACACTCTCATAACATGATCAGCAATTGTGTTCCTCGGTATTTACTAAAAGGAGTAGAAAACTTATGTCCACATAAAAACCTGCATACAAATGTTTATAGCAGGTTTTTTTTTCATAACTGCCAATACCTAGAAGCAACCAAGATGTCTGACTCGGTGAGTGGTACATACAGACAATGGAATATTACTCAGCACTATAAAGGAATGAACTATCAAGACATGCTAAGATGTGGAGAAAATGTGAATGCATATTACCAAGGGAAAGAAGCCAATCAGAAAAGGCTACATGCTGTATTATTCCAACTATAAAACATTCTGCAAAAGACAAAACTAGGGAGACAATAAAAGAATCAGTGGTTGTCAGAGATCAGAGGAAGGGTACACAGGGGATTTTTAGGGCAGTGAAATTATTTTATGTGTTACTACAACCCATAGAATATACAAAACCAAGAGTAAACCTTAATGAAAACTATTGACTGGGTGATAATGATGTGTCAATGTAGGCTCATCAATTGTAAAGAATGGATCATGTGCTGTGGAATGTTGGTAGTAGAGGAGGCTGTGTGTGTGGGAAGGAGAAGGTATATGGGAACTCTCTGCACATTCCACTCAATTTTCTGTGAACCTAAAACTGCTCTAAAAAAATCAATCTGTTTTGAAAACAATATAAATAATTCTGGAGGAAAAAGTTACAGATAGAACATCCATTAAAAAATGTAGAGCATGTAAGAAATTATTAATCTTACAAATAATACAAAATCCTAATGCTGAATTATAGAGTATATGGATAACGCCCTATTTATTTAAAAAAATATAACTATAATGAATGTTCCTATATAAAATAAAAAACTTTTTAGCCCCAGCAGAACTACTTAGTTGGAGTAGTAGTTAATATGACAAAAATAGGGCAACTAAATCATGAGAACAGAACTTCGTTACAATCTGACTGGGTCTATATTTGCATATTATTTAATTTCCTGCATATTTTGACAATGAAAGAGTCCCATTAAACATAATAGCAGGCCAATTTCTGCATGGTAGGAAGACTATAGGCCAAATATATGTAGTGATTATTTCTAAGATGGAAAAAGAAACTGTTAAGTGAAGAAGCCCTCAAAGTTGCTAGGTTGAAATAAATGCATTGCTGCTAAGCTGCGTTTGGTGAAATATTGAAATAATGGCTAATTATCATTCAAAACTACTTTTAAGAAGTAAGAAGCTACTAAGCTCTCCTCCAGAATCCATAGTGGATGCTAAGCAGACACAAATAATTAAATAGACTAGTTCGGAGATAACAAATAGTAAATGTGAGACTGCTAGGGCAAGACTGAACTCCTGAAGATCTGTTCATACTCCTCCATTTTGGTTATTTCAGGAACAAAATGAGTGTGCTTAGGCACATGGCTCTCAAGAGTCAGGCTGAATTACATCAAATTCTGCATGTAAAAATAATCAGATCTACAGCAAGAAAATGATTTGTTGCTGCAAACCAATCAGAAATAACCAATCTCCAGAGTCTCTGGACAGGGCTGGTGGAATAGTGGCCAAGATGCAGCTCCATAACTTACAGAGAAAGTGAGTCTACTGCTAGTGAAAAATAGATGTAATATAACTTTAAAAATTAAATGACTATATTATTTTAAAAGAATTAATGTTTAAAAAAATTAAATGTTTCAAAGGCTATTGAGATTCAACAAGAGAAATATATAGTCTGTGTCAGGTATAAAATTGTATTTGTGACAATAGAGTGAGTTCAGCCTTTATTGCTAATAAACACAGACATTGTATTTTCAGCACAAGGAATAAAATTGCATTTGTGGTAATAAATGTCCCTTCTCCTAGTCTCAGAGTAAACCAGAGTAGTGTACTTGTCATTCTTTTTCCAGTCTTTCCAAAACTACTTATTTGCTTTAAAATCTAGACTTATGTATCTGGGTTAAAATTTAAGTTTTTCTCAAATAAAACTCTCACATATAACTTTTTTGGAAATATACATTAAACCTTTTCAAAGAAGAAAAAAAAATCATTGTTATTTTAAAATTCAGTCAGTATCAAAGGCCAGATCCTCCTATAGAGTAATCTTTTTTATAACTTCAGGTAATAAAGAGAAAAGGGGCCTGGTAAGATTATAAAATTATTATGACCACTTAGCAGAAAATTTTTAAACATAATTTAAGTTTATTGAAAATGCTTAATTTTATGTGACATATTAAGTTAAAAATGTGCCATATCTACAATAATCTTTCAGATGAACTCACTAAAAAAGTGATCTGTAAATATACTTTTGATTTGAGATAATTTTCTTTGAAAATGTCCTGAAAAATTTTATTTTTTCACCTAATTAAAAAAATGTTGAAGCTTATCTTTTTTATTCCTGCTTTGAATTTAGTTAAAAATGAAACATTTTGAAGATATCTTGTTCTGTGATAATACAGCATATTCAAGTGAAATTTTCATGTCAGAAATATATTTTAATAGTAGTTTCTAATTTTGAAATACATGCTTTTGAAACACACAAAGAGATCTATATAGATAGTATAAGAGTAAAGAAGATAACATAAGCTCTAATAAGAACCCTGGCACTTAAACAAACTGTACGTTAGTCTCTGAAAATAGTTTGAGGACAAAATACATGCTATTAATTTACACACAAAAAAAATGATTTTCTAAAAGACAAAGTATACTATCTCCCTATGAAGAGAGATAGATATTTTTAAATGTGCAAACATATTTTAGAAAACATGCATCTGACTAAATATTTTGGGAGTGGTAAAGAATAAAAAACATATATACCCTGTTTTGATAGGTAACAGATTTCCAGTCTTTGCTCATGAGAAAATCCATAGAGTAGGTATGCTTCTTGGAGTGCACTTTTATACCACTTCTTTTTATTCTGACATTTTTCTGGCTGTATAAATACAAAAAAAAGATCAATTTTTAAATATATAATTTGTTTTAAAATCCACTTGACTTAGCTATTGAGCTGGAACTAAATCTAATTTGGAGCACAGTATAATACATTTCTTAGACTTTGGTAGCCAATTATTATTTTATTATTATTTCAGAGTTTAGCAAAATTGTGGGAATTTTGCAAGCTAATAGCAAAAAGGGTCAGATGCTTAATTCACTAAGATAATAGTGATAATATGCTTTACCTTACACTTAGGAAGTTACAAAAGTTAAGGCCCTGAATGTAACAAAGTAGCCAATATCAATACATTTATTAAATTAATGTTTTTCCCCTTTTAAGTGACATAGCAATGATACATAAGTAGTATAACTTGAAAAGCAAGTTCTATTAATTAGTTCCATTTGCACCTAGTTTTGCTGTTAGTACAGATACTGGCATATTCATACACGTTTCTTAAACTTTCTGTGTCCCAGGTTCTTAATCTGAAAAATGTGAATAAAAACATAACATACATCATAAAGTTTCATGAGTATTAAGTGAAATAATAGATGATCGTTTTCTGGCATAGTAAGATCTCAATCAGTTATTTTACTTGAATGCACATTTTCTAAATGTTTTTTTAGTTTTTAAAAAATATATTTTGTAAAAAAACAGAATCAAAGATTTTCTGGGTCAAAAATAACTATAAAAATTATCAAGTCCAATAATTTTTCTACTGTTATTTTAAAACTTGCCAAAAATGTCTTTGTAATGATACAAGACCCACTAATGTCTGTCCATACTGTCACAGCCTCTAGAGAAAGACATGGCAGGGGCACAAACGCTCCTGTACATTCCTGAACAACATTTCTAAGAGCTAATAAAAGGTGCACTTCCCCTTGTCTCCTATGCACTCCCAGTAAGTAGCTTCAGGGGAAACTTGTCTTCCCTGTAGTCCATGCCCAATCAACTGAAAGATGCAAATCTCCATTTACTCCATTATTCTGAGCAGTTATAAGTTTGAATAATATAGCATCAATGTAATCATAAGCCTTGTGATTTATATAACTTTTGTATCAATGTAATTGTAAGTTTCATGATTTGTATAACTTTTGCATAATCCATGATGTCTTAGGTCCTTTACTCTAAGGTAGGCTTAATGCTTTTGCTGGGTCCTACTGATAAAAGCTATGAGATACCTCTGATACCTGGCTCCGAAAGTGTCACTATTGATAAATCTGGCTGAAACTCAAGTTCTCTACAATGCTCTGCTGGTTATGTGTCTAATGTATAGGTACTAACAACTCTGGACTTATAAAAGTGAATTGTAAAAGCCTGGAGGATGAGCAGAACCATTTTAGAAAGACCTTGAGTCTGGTTCTGCTCCCTGGATTCAAACTCGGAAATAAACTTCTTTCTACCAGTTCCCCGCCCCTTTGATTTATTGGTATCAAGGGGAGCAGCTGAGCATTACTTGGACCATAACAGTAATGCTTTTAAATGTCAAAATTTATAAAGTACATGCCACAATTTATGCCACCATTTTCCTTTTGAAAACCTTACCAGCAAAAGGAATATGGCTATTTATTCTATTAACTCATATTTACCAACTGTCTAAAAAATTATATTTTGATCTCAGAAATATAAGATAATTCATCATTTACACAGAAACATAAATCTATATAACACCTATATTCAATTCATATTATTATTAAACGAAATTATATATTTAAAGCTCTTCTCAAATGCCACCATATTCTTGGAGTTCCCAAATTAATATCAACTATCTGCTCTCACTATGCTTAATCCTTTCATTTAATAATTTACTACATTTGATTTTTATTATAGTTATTTGTGTTCATGACTATCACCACTCATAAAATGAAAGGTCCACAAAATCAGGCAATAAATAATATTTCATCTTTGCATCTTCCACAGTACCCATTTGCCTAACACCTCATTTTATATAATTTAATCTCTCAGAAAGGAGTTATTAAATTGCATTTGGTCCTGGGCACTCATTAATTTGGTATAAAGGCAGTGAAACAATATAATCAAACAAAAATCCACTTTTGTACACAGAATCTATAAATTTCATTCGTTTTTTTATAGGAAAAAAGATAGGCAGATACAATTCAATAATCATTGTAAATTTTAAATCATTTATGCAACTCAGATATTATGATATTCAGTAAGAAATTATAGTGAAAAATCACTTAAAATATTACATAGAACTAAACAGTTGCTATACTATTCTTGAGAAAAACCCATGTAATATAGCTAAAATAATCTTTGGTGAAAATTGTTTACTGTGTCTCGGAATCTTTAAGAACTTATCAGTAGATAAGTGCCACCTAGTGGTAATACAAATTAACACCGTCTAATGAACTCATATTTTAGGAAGAATTTTAGAATTAGTCTCATTGTATCTTTAAACTAGTTTTTTTTTTAATTGAAGAAGTGATATGTGCAAATTCTAACAGTACAGAATGTACCTCCCTTCTTATCCCAGGTACTGTTTTTCCCAAAGGCAATCATTATTACCAATTTCTTTTATAGTTTTCCAGATATTGTATACATTTATAAGCATATATATAATCTATATAAATACATTTTTATAGGCTGCTAAGAATGGGTACATACACTTGAGTTGTTAAATTTTCCTGCAGATTTCTTAATGTATTTATTGATTCAACATATTCTAGACCCTCAGGATCTGTCACTGAAGAAAACAGACAAAACTTACATTCTAGCCTATAAGAAAAGACAATCTACATGTAATAAGAATAACAAATGAATTAAGAATATGGTATATTATAATAAATACTATGTAATAAATAAAAGGCAAGGCAGAGCAAAAAAATTTCCTGACCAATTGAAAATTGGTTATGAAAAAAAGAAAATGACTCCAGGAATTTTGAACTGAGTGGGTAGAAGGATGGAATTTGCTATCTACTGACATGGGGTAGGCTGTTTAGAAAATGAGATTTGGAGGAAGATCAAGAGTTCAGACATGTTAAGTATGAGATGTCTCAAATCCAACAGGTGGATAATGATGACATCCAAGGAGATGTCAAGTAGCTGTTGGATAAAAATTAATTCAGGAGAGAAAACTGAAGATAAAATTTAGGAATTGCTCACACACATGCACACAAACACATGGTATTTAAAGCCAAGAAATGTGATGAGATAATTGAAGGAATGAGGAAACAGATGGATGCATGTCTGCATATGTGGTATGTATGTACCATTATTTATTTGAAAATGCCCTACTGATAGACATCTAGGTTGTTTCTGTTATTATGCTACTTGAAACAATGCTACAATAAAAAAAATTTGTATCCATATATTATTCTTCTCACATGAGAATATAATGAAAGATAAATCCCTAGACATCAAATTACCAGGTTTGATAAATGTATATCTTAAGTTTTTTAATCTATTATGAAGTCACTCTTGAATGAGGAGGTCACAGGTTATAATATCACATTGTATCTCCTCACACCCTGCAGAACAAGATTTTATATCTTTGTCATTCTTTTTAAGGAAAAATAGCATTTCCTTTTTATTATCAATTTCCTTTCTTAAATAGAGTAATTATGAGCATTTTTTTTTTCTATTTTAACAGGCATTTATGTTTTCTTTTATATGGAACGACTGTTCAGGTTCTGTGTTAATAGGTATATTGGTCTTTTACTGATGTGTAAAAGGTATTTTTATATTAAAGAAATTAGCCCTTTGCTGTATGTACTGTCAATTTCTTCTTCTGTATAGAGTTTATCTTTTATCACTTTATATTTTCTTTTTTGTTCATTTAAATCTTTCCTTTCATCCTTCTAGAACTAATCTGGATGTATGAGGTATAGCTTTTTTTCCCAAGTAGCTATTTGTACTCATACCATTTATTAAACGATACAACATTTCTTAACTTATTTAACCACAACCTTGACCATTAGTTATATTTCCAAGTACTTTTGAGTTTACTTGTGGACTTTATATATCATTTTATTTCAAATTGCTATTAGTACTAAACTTCTATAACTATTGAAGCTTCATTACAGCTTTTATATTTTACAGGCCTAACTCTCACTTGTTCAGTCATTCTACAAAGTTTAGAATTAGTTTGTTTTGTTGAGGATCCTGGTTTCCTTGATTTGTTTTGTTGTTTTGAATCAGGGTCTCGTGGGTCTCACTCTGTCATTTAGGCTGGAGGGCAGTGGCATGACTGTGGCTCACCACGCCTCAACATCCTGGGCTGAAGTGATCCTTCTGCCTCAGCCTCCTGAATAGCTGGGACTACTGGCACCCACCACCATGTCAGGCTCATTTAAATATTTTTTAAAATACAGACAAGGTCTTACTATGTTGCCCAGGCTGGTCTAGAACTCCTGGGCTCAAGCTATCTTCCTACCTCAGCCTCCCAATGTGCTGGGATTACAGATATGGGCCACCATGCAGTCAGCCAAGGATCCAGTTGGTGTTTTTGTTTTGAAATCGAGATTGCATTAAAATTAATTTAGAATGAACTGTCATGTTCCATATTAAATCTTCCAACCAAGAATAGGATTATATATTTCTATTTACTCAGGTTTTATTTTCTGTCTCTTAGTAATATTTTTAAGTTTGATTCATACAGAACTTGTACATTGTTTCTTAGGTTTACACCAGTGTATTATATATGTTTTTTGCTATTATAAATGAGAATTTTAATCCTTTCATTTTTTTAATTGGTTACTTCTATATAGTAAACTCTGTAACCTGACACATAACTGAATATTCTTATTGTTTTTAATAGTTTTTCTATTGTTTATAATAGTTTTTCAATTTGAGTTTCATGAGTTTTACAGGCATACAATCATCTACTAATAATGTAATTTTGCTTCTTTTCTTGTATGTGCACTTTTGCTTCTTTCTTGGCTAATTATACTAGCCAATTAGACCTGGGCAATATTAAATAGTAGTAGCAATCCTACATACTTAAAAAAATACAAAATGCTCACCTTGAACAACCAACTTCT